GGGGCAGGGGCTGCTGCAGCCGGCCCTGACCTGTCCATGCCCATCCAGTTGGCCCCAGGCGTGCCCCTGCCCAGCCCTCAGGACCTGATGGGCCGGATCCTGGTCAAGAATAAGAAGCGGCACCGGCCCAGCATGGGCACCCAGGGCAGCTCCGTGCGCAAGCGGCCGCTGGAGCAGAGCAACTCGGCGCTGAGTGAGAGCTCCGCGGCCACCGAGCCCTCCTCGCCCCAGCTCGGTACGGCCCGCCTTCAGCCCTGCCCGACCCCAGCCTGCCTGTGCGCCCCAGGTGGGGCGCCCCGGTACCCCAGACCCCGTCCCTCCCACCCCACTGAGCCCGACCCAGTCCCCCACCACCCTCTTGCCCAGGTGGGTTGCCTCCTGTCGGTGAGGGGTGGCCTCTGACCCTTGACACCAGGCAAACGCCTCCCCAGGCTCCACCCTCGGCTTCGGCCTCCCACCTCGCAGCGCTGCCCGTCTGGGTTTCAGCTCTGAGTGCTGGCCTCTGGCTCCATGACTCACATTCCCACGCTTTGGATGTGACCCTCAGGCCTTGGGCCTGTCCTGTGACCCCCCCGAGTCTGCCCACCCACTGGTTGTAACTTCAGCTGGCCTTTGACCTCTGACTTCCGAGGTCTGCCGCGCCTCCCTGATCCCATCCGGTCTCGTCACTGGGACCCCTCCTGGCATGAGGCCCTGCTGAGCCCTGACCCTCACCTTGTGATGCCACCCTCACCCCGCCGTTGAGGCTGCGGCTTTCTCCCTGGCTTCTCGCTCCACTGAGCCACCCACCTGCCTCCCTGCTGTCCACGACGCCAGACCTTCGCCTGTGACCTGTGACCCCTCTGAACTACCGCTGGGTTTTTTACCATCCGACCCCTGACCTCCGGCCTCTCTCCAAGCTGCACTGTCCCGAGCGTACCCCTTGCTGCCCCTGGCGTCGCCTCCACACGCACTGGGAGCAGCCCCTCCAGGCTTCCAGGACATCTGCGGGTGGTCCTGACCCCGACCCCGCGCCCGCCTCTGCAGGGTCTCCCAGCTCGGACAGCTGCCCAGGCCTGAGCAACGGGGAAGAGGTGGGGCTTGAGAAGCTCAGCCTGGAGCCTCGGAAGTCCCTGGGCGAGGAGGGCCTGAGCCGGGGCCCCCCCTATGCCCTGGGCCCCACCGACCGAGAGGACGAGGAGGAGGACGAGGAAGAGGAGGAACAGACGGACCCCAAAAAGCCGACCACCGATGAGGTCGGGCCAGGGGCGGGAAGGGGGTGGGTAGCGTGATTATATCCCAGGCAGTTGCTAGTGCCTGCTGGGAGCCAGGCTGCTGGGCTCAGGGGCTGACCGCATGCAGGACTGACATCATCCCAGCCCTACTGGAGTTCAGAATGTGTGTGTGTGTGTGTGTGTGTGAGAGAGAGAGAGAGAGAGAAGGTGGGAGGCGGGACCTTCTATCATCAGGCAGTGAAACACGTGTCTGGTTATGTTTACAGTGTGGACTGGGGAGAGTGAGTTAGGGTGCAAACTGGGACAGGATGGGAGTCTTCCCAGAGCAGGCAGACCCGAGAAAGTGGGACCCGCATGTGCAAAGTCCCAGTGGCAGGACCAGAGATGCCAGGGGTGGGGGTCTTGTCACGGGGAGCATTGAGGAGTTGAAGGACGGCACAGAAAGGTCAACCTGGCAGTTGTGGGAGGTCAGATCTGAGAGGGACTCAGAGCGGAGGAGGGTGCAGTCGTGGCCAGAGGTCACCATCGGGCTGAGTTTGAGGACCCCGTGAGCCACCGAGAGGGGGTGGCAAGGTGGTGAGTGCAGTTGGCTGGGAAGGGAGTTCAGGGCTGCGTGTGCACTTGAACCCCTGGGCTTGGGCGACGGGTTCCAGCTTCTGAGAATCAGGCAGGAGAGGGGCTCGGGGCACCTCGGGGAGGCCCGGGGGAGGCTGGCGGGGGGAGGACGGCCAGGGTCTGCTTTGTGGGGCGCCGCTGAGGAGACTACCGGCTTGGCCCTGCTGACCCTGGGCTTGGGGCCCACAGGGCACAGCCAGCAGCGAGGTCAATGCCACCGAGGAGATGTCAACCCTTGTCAACTACATCGAGCCCGTCAAGTTCAAGTCTTTTGAGGCAGCTCGAAGTGAGTGGGGTGAGGGGTGGGAGCCGGCCCCGCCCAGCCCCGCCAGGCCTGACACCCTCTCGCTGCCTTTCCCCAGAGAGGAACAAGTGCTTCGAGATGTCGTCCTTCGTAGAGACCAAGGCGATGGAGCAGCTGACCAAGAGTCCCATGGAGTTTGTGGAGTATCCTTGGGCGCTGTGGGCGGGCGACTGGGCCGGCCGGCTCAGGTGTTCCGCCCCAGTGACGCCTCCTGACGGGGCCCCGGGACTACTGGCCTCTGGGTCTGGGCTTGGGCAGGTCCAGAGGGTCTCAGGGGCCTGGCGAGGCTGAGGAGAAGCCCAAGGGGCTGTGTGAGCTCAGGCCAGGGGTGGGAGTCCCAGGAGCGCCGGGCTTGAGGCAGGAGGCGGAGGCCGAGGGGGGGACCTGGCACCCATGTGGCCCCTGACCGCCAACTTCAGATACAACAAGCAGCAGCTGAGCCGAATCTACCCCAAGGGCACCCGCGTAGACTCCTCCAACTACATGCCCCAGCTCTTCTGGAACGTGGGCTGTCAGCTGGTGGCACTCAACTTCCAGACTCTGGGTGAGCCTTGAGACCTTGAGCCTGCGGAGACCTTGACCCCTGACCCCAGCTTATGTTTTTTTTGAGTTGAGGTCTCACTCTGTTGCCCCGGCTGGAGTGCAGTGGCACCATCATGGCTCACTGTGGCCTTGACCTGGCCTCAGGCGGTCCTTCCGCCTCAGCCGGTCCTTCCGTCTCAGCCTCCTGAGTAGCTGGACTATAGGCCTGCGCCACCATGCCAGGCTAATTTTTTGAGTTTTTAGTAGAGATGAGGTCTCGCTGTGCTGCCCAGGCCAGTCTAAAAACTCATGGGCTCAAGCGATCTCCCTGCCCCCGCCTCCCAGAGTGTTGGGATCACAGGCGTGAGCTACCACACCCGCCTTCTTCCTGACTTCTGACCGTCATCCTGCTGGTCTGGCCAGAGCAGACCTCTGACCCCATCTAACCCCAGATCTCCGGGCGAGCCCTGACCTCGACTCACCCCCGTCCCACCCTTGGCGGTCTCCAGACCCCTCACCAGTCTGATCTCTCCCGGATCTGGACTCTGAGGCCATCTGACCCCGCCCCTGGCCCCGGACTTGGACGGTCCCTGGTGTCCCCCGACCCCCGTGTGGCAGGGCCCCGCCTGACCCCCGGCCTGCCCCCAGACGTGGCCATGCAGCTCAACGCGGGCGTGTTTGAGTACAACGGGCGCAGTGGATACCTGCTCAAGCCCGAGTTCATGCGGCGGCCGGACAAGTCCTTCGACCCCTTCACCGAGGTCATCGTGGATGGCGTCGTGGCCAATGCCTTGCGGGTCAAGGTGGGGCCGGGAGGGTGCCGGCCGGGTGGCCTGCGGGCGGGCCTCTCAGCAGCTGCTTCACCCTCACGGCCCCCTTCCCCCAGGTGATCTCGGGGCAGTTCCTGTCCGACAGGAAGGTGGGCATCTACGTGGAGGTGGACATGTTTGGGCTGCCCGTGGACACACGGCGCAAGTACCGGACCCGCACCTCGCAGGGGAACTCGTTCAACCCCGTCTGGGATGAGGAACCCTTTGATTTCCCCAAGGTGAGCCTGGGTACAGGCAGGTCTACACAGGTGGCGACTGGGGATCAGAAAACGGGGAGCCTGGGCGTGGTGGCAGACACTTGTCGTCCCAGCACTTTGGGAAGCTGAGGTGGAAGGATCTCTGGAGCCCAGAATTTTGAGGTTGCAGTGAGCTATGACTGCACCACTGCGCACGAGCCTGGGCAACAAAGCGAGACCCTGCTCTTGAAAAAAAAGTTAGGTTTGAGGGCGGTGATTCGTGCCTGCCATCCCAACACTTAGGGAGGCCAAGGAGAGAGGATCGCCCGAGCCCAGGGGTTGGAGGCCAGCCGGGCAACTTGCGAGACCTCGTCTCTACAAAAATCAAAAGTTAGCCGGGCGTGGTGGCGCGCGCCTGTGGTTCCAGCTACTTGGAAGGCTGAGGTGAAAGGATCGCCTGAGCCCAG